GACCCTTTGACCACACTAGAAATCTGCAGCTGCACAAGGAGAGATACATACCCACCCAATCCCGCTGGTTTAAATACACATCTTAGGATATAACCAAATTGTTTTTCCTACATGTGCAAGCGGGATACCATTGCCACAAATGCAATTCCACTTCTGCCCGTCTCTGTGGTTCTCGTGGAAGTTCCAGCCGCAGATTACAATGCACAGTATCAGCAACTGTACTGGAAGTCACTGCACAATGATGTATAAAGTTTAAGTCATGTTAAAACTCCCACATATCCAAAAATTCCTCTCATGGATTTAAAATTTTGGAAAGCCCGCTTGAAACTCTTGCTTGAACCTCTTATTATACCTTGGTCTTATTAAGTAGTTTCGGTATAGCCTGATTTCTGGTCTCTGCCCAGATGCATAATTTTTTCAGGTACTTACGAGCTTTACCTTAGCCCTATATCTTGAACTTCCTTTCTATGAAGTAGGTATGATGCATGCTTTTTTAAAAAGAAGATGAAAGGATCACTCTTCAGGTGAACTAACTTCATCAGAGCTCTCCACAATTGTAAAGTATTGTTATGAATTTGAGTTTAGGTTTAGGCATAAGCCACAGGTGTATCTTCAAATTATGTGGAAAGGGTTTTCAGGGGAAAGCTCAGCCCAATTTCTGTTCCAGCACAAAAAGTGAAAACCTATAAATAAAACTAGAGAGGTAGTATATAGTGCATGAGAATACTCATTAAAAAGGTAACTCTATGGTAAATTATTACAGAGGAAAAACAAAAACATATGGACTAAGGAAGAATAGCTGTGATCAACAAAAACAGGTAATATATTATAGGCTTCAACTGATAATTTAAAATGGATCCTCAGCTTTCCAAATCTTATGCAACTTCAATCATGGTCAGCAATGTTTGCTGTTCTAATGTGATTCCTCACTTTCCCGCTGTTTTCCATTTCAGATGCAATTCAGTAGATGTTAATTAACACCTGCAATAGCTAATATATTACCTGGAGGCATTTTCATATCTACTGTTAGCCAGTTGAGAACTAAGCCAGGAATAAACCATAGCTTCCTAGCCTTGCAGGAAAAAATAAACTACTTTTAAATACCCAGTGTAATATCTAGTTGTTGGTTTGTCTCTACCTCAAATGTACAGCAGTGCAAAATGCTGTCCTTGTATATTCTGTACATCTGCCTATTTCATAAATTCTACTTCTCTCTAGCTGTTTCAGGGTCCAGCAAGGAGACTGTTACAGCACTGGTATACCAAGAAAAGAACCCAAGAATAGAGAAGCCAGAAAATATGGGTTTTTTCCTCCTCCTTCTCCTTCTCCACCTTGCAGAGAGGTCTGAACTACAGCATTTTGAAGAAGTACTGTTGGCAGGATTTCCCTTTGAAGTTTACACCATGCTCTTAGACCTGAACCCAATGATGTTAAACAGGACCGGTAAACCAACTCTGATTTTTGGAAACTTCTGTCACTGAAAGCACGTGCCAAGATAAACACAACCCAGAATGCACAGACTATGAATCTCCTTCTCTTTCACCATAAGTCATAGTTCCAGCATCTAGACTAAGGTTCAGTTCTGCTCCTGTTCATACAATTGAGTGGGAATGAGTCCAGCAATGGATCTTTCATTTTCCCTTGGCCACTGAAGTGCTGCCCACTCTTCTGTCACTGGGCAGGCTCTTGTGAGATCAGCAGACTGTTTATCTGCTCAAACATTTACAGACTGAGGATAAAACAAAGACCTGGAAAGCAAAATGTACTTAAGTCAGCAGTGAAAAAAAAAACAAGTGAGTCACCAAAGTTCAAGTGCACAGTATCTCTAATTTTCACTTCAACAGGCATACAAAGGTATGGTTCTTATTTCCAGTGACTGGAAGAGTCATGCTTTTTACCTCCTCAGTGTAAAAGGAACTAGCACAATGAACAGTAACTCTGGATCAGGGGAAAGACCTGAGGCATTGCAAACAGGTAGCAGAAGATTCACAGTACATGCAGGCTTATGTCTGAGAATCAAGCCTATTTTACACATCCCAAAACATCTTATAATCTGGCAACTAATACCCTGAAAAAAACATTCTAACTCATTTTACTCACATGAAACATGATGTTTAGATCTGACGAGGATTACTCACCAGATTAAATTTTTCATTTAAAATCATGCCTTATAGCTATGAAGGAAAGCTATTTGCTATCCTCAAAACATGTATTATCTGATGTTATATTGCTTTATCTAGATAAAATGGGCAGTAAATCAAATTTGTACACTGCAGCTGCTAATCAATATGCTTTAGTTGAAGACTACATCCAAATGCTGATTCTTAGAGCTATTTGTGAATTTCAGATGTGCCATTAAGGATAAAACTGATAAACTACTTCACTACTTCTGATGTCTATAAAATTGAGCAACTTTATCTTGTTTTATTCTGAAATGAAAAATCTCAGTCGGCTGGCCTCCCGTCTTATTTACAATAAATTAGTGATGAAGGGGAAAGGTTTGTTTTTCAAAAGGGTGTAATTATATGGTCTCAAATATCATTCCATAACCAACTGTCTCTCATCCCAGCTTTTGAAAGACATCTTAAAAAAATATCAGGTTTGGGGTTCTTTGCTTTGCCATACCAGGTAGAATCCCAAAACGCAGCAAAATGAGCTACCAGTTTGTATCTGCACTTCAAACAGCTTGTCTTCCACCTAGATATCAGCTGATTAAATGAGCCAAATTAAACATGGGCTTTAAGTGGAGCATCCAGCTGTACTGGCCAGGCCAAGGCCAGGAGTTCTATCCTTCAGATTTTAGCCTTCATACGAGGTTATCTTGCTGATGGACAACATACTTGATATTTCAAGTACAAAATTATCACTGGTGACACTACAGTGTGAAAAGAGAACTAAAAACCCAGAAACATCCTCCTTCAAAATAATAATTAAAAAAACAAACAAACAAAAAAAAAAAAGCAAAAAACCCAAACAGTGAAGATCCCTTTCCTCTCCTAAACAGTAATGCTCCCTCTCCATTAGTTCAGTTCAGTTTAAGTCATACTCTGACATAACACCTAAGGTTAAAAGTCTTGAGGCTGTCAAGGCATTCATTCCAGAGTTTTCAATTCAGGATCATTTTCTGCAGGTGCTCCCTGTAATCTTTGTTGAGGTCCAGACTGACCAGCCTACAATAGTAGGGAATGATTCACCAGGCAAGGACTCAAAGATTTATTTTTAGTTTTGGCAAGAGCAGGAATAACCAAGCATATACTTTGCAAGTTTATTTGAAAAGTTTACTCTATTTGCTAAATATTTATTTTCTGCCTCAAATCTGCAATCCTTAGTATCTGGGATAATATTAAGAAAATTTCACTACAAGTGACTCAGCTGTGGTTCATCTCATCTACTTATTTCCATTTATTTTGTCAATATGTCATTGTTTGCTTTTAAAAATAAACAGCAAGTACTTTCTCAGTCACCCTATTTCCTAAACTTAATTTTTTATGTATGATCTTTATAATGAAGATGAGAAAAATACCTATACTGAGAATGCAGACTGCCTTTTAATAATGCAATGCACAGAAACACACAATCCTTATAACAGAGCAAGCATTCTCCAATACATAAGAAAGTTTGAACTTTCTCCACTTCGAGGATTAAAAAAAAATATTCAAGTGCTCTATAAAACGCTGGCGTTTTTTCTGCATCAGCTTAATTCATTTACATGTGTATGGATTACCTAAGCTTTATCTGATGCTCAGGCAGAGAAACAAGAGGACCATTTCTGTGCTACAGGTTGGTTAGGGCCACAGGACTTCTCCCTCCTAACCATGGTACACAGGTCAGCACTAACCTGAAGATATTGCTGTGTGGCCTGTGCACAGAGGGTGGGGAAAGTGAGACGAGGCAGTCAGCCCATTTTCTCATGGATCTAGTTTTTCAGTGGCTGCTATCAAATTCATTGAAGCAAGGATTTGACTGAGCAGGAAGATAGAATTACGTCTCCTTCCCACAGCTCAAGGTCAGGATAAAGATGGAGGAGGGCTGTGAGGCATTTTATGTGCATTTATTGACTTCATATTATGACTAAATTTCCAAGCTGAAAGTACCGTACACATGGATTAAGACACGGCTAATATTTAGTCACATATTAACCAGCATTGATACTGAATCTGAGGAGCAGCCATCTGAACAGCACACCAGACTTCTCAAATAAAACCCAAACTGGAGATTTCTTGTGTCTAGGTAGAGACTTGCAACTAATAAACCTGAGAAGTTTCCAAAGAGCAAATAGAGGTTCACGGCAGAACAAGGCAGCTTCAAGGTACAGAAAAGAGGAGGGAATTGTATTTTCACAACAGTGAAAGCATTCAAAATGCAGAAAAGCGTCTGCATGAGACATATAAAACACTAGTTGGCATTCGTTCTCCAGCCTCTGGATAGTTCTGAGGATCTGTCCCTCACAGAACTCAGACTAAACCAGACGTAGGAGTAAGAAATGCACCAGTGCAGCATCTGTTTACTTGTTCTTCCATTTTGGACATACAAATACAAGAAAGGTTCTTTGGGCCCTACAATACAAAAATACAGACAGACTATTTTAGCCTGTAATAAACATGAACATGCTGTCTCCTAAAAGGTAGCATGAGAACCCTGGCAGAAAAGCCACCCCTTTCTGCCTCCTTTCACCCCACTCCAGCTAATTGGAGCTGAAGTACAGTTCATCTCTGCCTCCATTCCAAGCTTTTACATTTTCCTCCTTCTCTCTCACACTCTTTTTCCAAGGCTAGGTTTGCTCCAATTTCTTCCCCTCAAGAGAAGGATTTCAGATGCCCCTTGACTAAAGAGGCCTCACTTAAGAAAAGCATCTTTGAGGAGAAACTTTTCAGAGATTGCCCCACAACCCCCCAGCTCTTTGCTTGGTCAGCATGTAGTCAGCAACGTAAAACAGCAGTCCAAACACACTACCTTGCACTTTTACTAAATGAAATTTAAAAAAGCATATATCTAAACACTGGGTGGGAAAAAAGCTTTTATGGAAATAGATTTGATGCTACAGTCCCTTCATCCTTGAGTTCCAGAGTCTGAAGGAGTAGCTGAGGGAAGCACCAGTGAGCACCTCTGTAGCTATGTTGTCTGAGTTTATTGCACAGGAGCTTTCAAAGTATTATTACACACATTGAACCACAGGGCGCTTGCCCAGCATGTAGTGCACCATTTCAGCAATTGTTAGTGACTGGTTTAAACCATATATTCACCTGGATCTCAGTTCTTGTTTCCTTTCCATTCTCTTTTTATTTTTAATTGACCTTAAATGATTAGTTACAACCAAACAAAATCATAACTGCTTAATACCTGACTGCTAGGAAATAATTTTCAGTCCCTACCACTATGTAATATCTCACATTCAGAAAACATTCAAAAACCATTTTAACAATATAAACTCTATTGTAAATGCATTTAAAATAAATAAATCAGTTGTTGCTACATCACCTACTATCAAGAAATGTGAAATCGCTAAGTACTTTTAGCCGCATTTGCTCTGTAAGGCACACCACCAGTACAAATCTGGTTTATATTTACTTTGTCCAAAAATACAGGAGCTGTTAGAGGGAGCTGCTTGAGTTAAAGCACATTATCCTGCTATCAGAAGAAATACTGGGACACTTAACATTGCTTCACAAGCCTTGGACACGGTAAATAGCAAACAACATTTCCAGTGGTGCCCAAGCCTATTCCACATTAGGAGTGCAACCCTGCTTGTGCTCTCCAGGGCTGGTCTCGTCTCCCAAAAGGGTGTTTACATTTTATTACACAATTTCTTCACTGGAACTTCATTATGTCAGTTATCACCAGTTACACAAAAATCATGTATCCCCTGGGTAAATAGTGCGAACTGCTACACAACACAGGCCCCCCCCCCATAACAGAACTATGAGAGACCAGCCTGTGAAAAACCTGCTTATCATTACACAGTAAGAAGAGGGAGAAAACCAGTAAGGTTCTGTCTTTTGCATTATTTAAATGCGATGTGATGTGGGGCATGGGCAAATTCAAGAGCCAGTCCTTCGCAATACCTCTCTTTGGACCCCCACAGGGGAAGGAGGATGGGTTCACGGTGGGCAGGGCAGGAGCACTTAAGGCACCCTCGGAGGTCCTTGGCCCTGAAACTAGATAAGAGCACTTTGTTCCCCCCTTCCTTCGATAAGACAGCATGTGAGATGAAAGCAGCAAAGCTCCTCCTTGGCTTGAAAGCCGAAAGGAGCTGGGTCATAGTCCTGAGAAGTCAGTGTATTGGCTCCTGGCAAGGGCTGGGGGAAGATTCAGAGACCCCCAGTGTCGGCCCTGGGATAGCACCTTTGAATCCGCTCAGTACCACAGTACAGGGAATGGGGTATTTATTTGTGTTTTGTTTTTTTTTTTTTTTTTTTTTTTTTGTTAAGACAATCACATGGTCCCATCATCTAGGGGTTTGGTCTTGGCGGTGTTCATGTAACACAGCACACGATTCCCTCATCTGGCGGAGACGCCGGACTCCCCGCAGCGTCTGGTCGGGGTTGGGGAGGCCGCTGCCACACGCCCTCATGTCGTCCCTGGGACCATGGCCAGCTGCGGGGCAGTCACTGACTCCGGCTACCTGTCCTGCCAGTCCTCCGGCCACCCGTCCAGTGGCAGCTCCTCGGCAAGGTCCTGCTGGGCTACTCGCCCCCCTGGTCGGCATGGCCTGGAGCGCCGCCGCCGTCGAAGACCTCGGGGCCGTCGCCGAGCAGCGAGGTGCGCATCTTCCGCCGCTCCTTGAAGCGGCCCGAGTGGGACACCCGGAGGCTCCGCCGGCTCCCGCCGCCCGTCCCCGCGGCGTCGCCGCTGCCGAAGGGGGGCGGCTGCTCCTCCCGGTCGTCGGGGCTGGGGGGGTCGGCGGGGGTCTCACTGGCGGCGGGGGGCGGCGGGGCTGCCGCCGCTTCCTTGTGCTTCTTCTTGCTGGTCAGCGATTTCCACCAGGGCCCCGCCGAGCCGCCCTTCACGGCGGCGCGGGGAGCGGCGGTGGCCGCAGCGCTGTCCGCCATCTCGGGCTCCTGCGGGAAGGAAGCAGGCGAGGGCGGGTTGGCAGCCGGGCACTGCCACCCCGCTGGGGCGGCGCCGGGACCCCTTTTCCCCAGCAGCGCTGCCCGCCCGGCACCCCGGGAGCGGCCCCGCGGGGAGGGACGGACGGGTCCTGCGCGGGCAGAGTGTTCTGCTCCCCGCACAGCGGCCCCGGAGCGCCGCCCGGCCCCGTGCGCGGCCGGCAGAGCCACGGGAGCCGAGCGGCCGGACCCGCTGCCCAGACTCGCCAACCCCGTCCCCAGAAGTTGACCCAAGGTCCGGTACCTTGGGGCTGCTGCCGCCGCCGCCGCCCCGCGGGACGGGGCCGGGAGCCCGGCGCGACCTGAAGCTCCTGCGATGGGGCGCCGCTCCCTCCCTCCCTCCCTCCTCCCGCCGCCCCGCCAGCTCCTGGCGCTGCAGGTGCGGGAGGCGACACTGACCTGCGGCGCCCGCCGCTGCGGGAGTGCTCCTGCCCCACGGGGAAGCGCAGCCGCCGCCGCAGCAGGGGAGCAGGGAAGGAACGGAGCGATGTGCGGTACAGCGGCAGGTGCCCGCCAGCCCCCCGGCTCGACCCCGTGGGCGGGGCAGCGGCCCGGCCAGCCCCGGGGCCGGGCGGCTCCCGCTCACCTGCCCGGCTCCCGCCGGGGAGGAGGAGCTGGGCCTGGCTCCGTAGGGCGGGGAGGTCGGTGTCCCCTGCCGGAGTGGAGAGGCACGGTAGAACAGGAAAAGGAGGGGGAGCCTAAGCGTAGGTGAGGCAGCACCGTGACCGCGTAATGAAATCCGAGCGTGGACGGCCGCGGTGTTGCCAGTGTGCGTGGCTGAAACAAAATATCACTACTTTTTGTTTGTGCACGTGATGGATGTGCGTGGGCAGGTAGCCTTGAAGAAAATAGAATTGTGTTTAACTGCCCATCTTTAAAAAACGAATGAAACTGTAGGTCAGACCATGCAGTGTGATATTTGTATTTCAGCTAGTTTAGTATTGAGACTTTGAATTTCTTTATGATAATGGATATACGGCCATACGAACAGCTTTACCTGTTTTTATTCATTCAGAAAGGAGAAGAAGATTTGCTCGTGCCACACCGTGTGTTAAAAATGATGATTTGTTCTTTGGAGGACTATGTCATGTAATACGCATTTGATCCACAGTACCCTTCCCATTGGCTACACAATCAGTTACTCAAAGTTGACTATGATGGTGTGGAGGAGTTCATGTATTCAGCCTCATCTTTTCTTGCAGATCAACTTCGACTACTTGCAGCTTCCCTGAAAAGCCCATAAAGATAATTATGGAAATTGGTCAATGCAGGTTACTTAGGGAGAGGAGCCTGGGGCACGCATTTTAGTCTGTATATTGCCCTCTTCAAATCCAAAGGCTTTTGGATAGGAAAGGATGTGCACACACACACTTGAAATACTCCAAACTGTCTATCATACTAACTAACATCAGCAGCAAAATCTTTCTCCTATGGAATAAAACAGTAACCAAAGATGGCCTTTACATTCCCTCCTAACAAGTAAGCAACTAACATTTTCTGAGATGCATAGCACCAGGGCATCAGGCTTTTTTGGGCCAAGGACAGCAACAGACCAATAGGGTCAAGTTTCCCCGTGTGAATATGACCTACTGCTTTGCTCCTCACTTGTAGGGAAAGAGAACATCAGCGTGTCTGCTCATCTTGTGTCTCAGGGAAGTGCCTGGGAAAAAGGGAATTTATGTTGAAATAAAGATAGTTTTTATTTGTAAAAGCCCTTTTCAGAAAAATACTACAAGTTGTTATTTATAGCTTCCACTCTGCAAATAGGCTTATACAAACCATTTATTATTTATTTATATTATTTTGATTATCTGATCTCTGACCTCTGAGCTCACAAAATGCCAAACTTACATCAAATCAGTGTGGTTTTTTTCAGTTAAACCCATTTCAAAGAATCATCCAAAGGAAGAGTTTTGTCCTTTTTGATCCTGTGCTGAAAGCGGGGTCTACTGAAAAGAGAAAGGCAGGTTAGAAAGCTTTGCAAAAGACGTGTGAGCGGGAGGGTGCTGCCTGCATGTGTATGTGGTGGTGCAGGAGGACAGCAAAACCTGCTCTGCTTTTGAAAGCCACAACATGCTGTTCCACAAGATTGTCACTAAGGTTCGTGTTTATATAAAAACAATTCTGAAAGTGCAAATGTATGAGCTCTCCCTTTCTTACTGCAACAGTACTTGTTGCATTCCTTCGGTATGGTTATTTTACAGCATTGATTTAAAAGGGAAAATAAAGTACCCTATTGCCTCTTTCAATGCATGGAAGTTAGATAGTATATTTATTTAATAGGACCGCTGCAGTTAAATTCTGTCCTGTCTTTTCAGGAGGCTGAGAGAAAAAGTAGTGGAGTTTTGTACTCCTAGCTAGGATGGATGTGCAATATTCTGGAAGATGCCCCAGTTCACTGCAAAATAAAACTGTAGGGCCTTTCCTCCATGTTGTAACATGATTCTTTTGTGTACAGTCAGACTGTTCAGAAATAGCCCGGTATTTTCAAGATTTAGATTCTCAAAGACTAATGTCAGCTCTCAAACAATCTTACTTACAATACCTAATCATTACTGCAGTGAATGAAAAGAAAAAAAACAGTGCTTGTTGCAGTTCCCATTGTCCTTTTTCTGAACTTTGCAGACCCTACTGTGCTCTAGTTGAAACTGTGCTCTGGAATTAGATTGCCAAACCACACTCTTATCTAACTGTGTTGAGGGGACCCATCTCTACTGGCAGGAGAGGAGAGGCACTGTCCACTTCAGGCATCAGCCTTCCCAACATCACGGAACCTTTTGGTTTCCAAAACTCTGATATTAAATTCAGTTTTAATTATACCAAGGGAACCCAATGTTGCCCTCAGAAGCATCAAATATGCTAATGAATATTGCTCTCTGATCTCATATTTACCCTCAAACCCCAGAGCACCCAGCAAATACACTGGACATTTGAAACTTGGGCTTCTCAAATGCTAACCTTAAGGCCAAGGACATTTCCAAGCCAAATGTAGAAAAGAACATATTGCACTGGCACCTATAAGGAACAAACCTCTGCTTTGGTCCATACTTCCAGAAATATTCAATGTTTGGCTCTTCAAGATTCAATTCTTCTAAACTCTTAGCCCTGCCCTGACATAAAACTAAGCAATTGGCTCATAGAAAATTGCAACACTGCTACCTGCTGCCACAGGTTGGCCCCTTAGCATTCAGGAGGTCTTGGGACTCTTAGATCCCAGAGCCTAAATATCACATCAATTTAAACCAAGGGACCTCTGTGCACAGGAAAAAACCATACAAAGAAATGGTTCCCATCTGCATCAGGCGGTCTACTCAGAAGAAGCCATCAATAACATTAGCTCTTCCAGATTTAGATTTTCAAGTACTAGCAGTATCTCAAATCTTAGCCTTACGTTAATAATCACAGGAAGGACTCCAACGATATTACAACAGGGAAGAACATTTTTCATGTTGATATCAGCTTGCTGCTCAAGACTGTCAAACTGCAGTATCCATTCCCAGGCTATGTCTGTCCTGCCAAAAAAACCCCAAAACCAATCAAGCTGGGACATAGGTTTGAACCCAGCTGCTACTGAATTTAGCCTATTAGTGGCGACTCACCGGCACAATTTTGAATTTTGGCCTCTGTCAGTGCATGTGCACTGGTCAGCATGGTTTCAAGGCAGTGAGAGCAAAGGATTCTGCCCTTTGGAAGTGTTTGAGAGTGCAAAGCCTGTTGTAATTAAGCTGGACAACTATGGGGGGGACCAAACTTGTGTAGTTTCATCCATTCTGCCAAAGGGCAGAATCCTTTGCTCTCACCAGCTTGGTTGGAATGGTCTGCAGGGCTCAGAACTGGACACAGTACTTGAGGTGTGGCCTCACCAGTGCTGAGTACTGGGGGGGGAAGGATCACTTCCCTGATCCTCCTGGCCACACTGTTCCTAATACAGGCCAGGATGCCATTGGCCTTCTTGGCCACCTGGGCACACTGCTGGCTCATGTTCAGCTTCCTGTCAATCCAGACTCCAAACTCCCTTTCTGCCTGGCTGCTCTCCAGCCACTCTCCACACTCCAGCCTGTAGCGCTGCAGGGGGTTGTTGTGGCCAAAGTGCAGGACCCAACACTTGGCCTTGTTGAACCTCATCCCGCTGGAATCAGCCCAACTCTCCAATCTGTCCAGGTCCCTCTGCAGAGCCCTCCTTACGACATCCTGCAATAATCTATGTCCTTCAGGCTTTGAACTCCCAGTCCTGGCTCTAGCTGTAGCATCAGTGTAATTATATCCAGAATACCATGCCTTCAGAGAAAGATAATGTAAAGTATGGCCCCCATTGAATGTGCAAGCCCTAGAGCGTTCAGTAATAATCATAGTTCCCTAAGGTTCAGATTTTGGAGTCTTAACCATTATCTTTACTTTAATCAGGGAATTAATCTCTACAGCTAAAGAATATGAAGGGTATTGATGCTCTCATTCTTATCTCCATGAGCCCTATAGTCTCTCCATTCCCTTTAGATAGCTGTAGGGGACATAGCAGTGTAATTTTGCTTTGAAGATCCAGTTAGATGGCATTCTTGTGTGTTTGTGAATTACCTTCCTACTCAGAGTTTTCCTGGTTTCAGTCTCTAGTTATCGGCAGGGGGTTTGTTGGCACTGGAATCTTCTTCCTTCCTTCATTGCAGACTTTGACTCTGTACTAGTCCATAAAGAAATAAGAAGGTGTCCAGACAGTCCTGCAGCTTGTGCCTTTGAGCAAGTTTTGGGGAGAGTACAGCATTGAGGCAAAATGTCACAGTTTCTCCAGCTACTGCCAGTTTAAGGAACTTGAACAGCTAGAGAAATGCCCACTTGTAGACCCTTCCTCCCAGCCCCACCTCTTTTTATGCCCTCTCCAGCCTCTTCTCAGACAGCAGGGCAGCACAACCCAGCCCTTAGCAGGATCAGGCTCTGATCAGTACTCTGTGTGAGGGAGCATGATACTGGCAGCTGCTGAAGAGGCTGTCACTGTCTACATCTCCATGTGGGAAGAAAGGGGAGAGAGCAGCTGCCTAGCTGGGTTCGGAAAACACTCTCCCTCCAGACATGTGAGTCCAGGAAGGGCCTTGTGCAAGCACAGTTAATCATTTCACAGTGTATCATTTGCACAGATGTGCACTGTGCAGTGTTTGAGCTTATTATAAATCACACAGTTGCTCCATGTGCTCTGCAAACCAATCTCAGTACCTACCTTCACTTTTGCCTCTTCACAATGGGATTTAAGACTCCCCATCTCTGGAACTGTTCAAGGTCGGGTTGGACAGGGCTCTGAGCAACCTGACCTGGTTGAAGATGTCTCTGCTCATTGCAGGGAGTTTGGCATACATAATTTTCCAACCCAAACTACTCTATGATTCTGTGGTTCAGCCCAGCTATTTATTACCCCAGGCATTCCCAGCACCTCGCTAAGATCTCACTAAGACCAGAGTTTAGCCTAATACCACACTTGCAATCTCTCCTCCCTCCTGTTTACTGAATTTGACAGTAATACACAGCTCAGGTCTTTCAAAAACTTTGTTTCAAAAGAGATCCCAAACCTGATACCTTCCTTCCCAGAGTCTTAGGCCAAGTGCCCCTGAAGCACTGTCTCCATCAATTAAGCTCAAATGTTGTGTGAGCTTTGAGAATGCTAAGTGTGGAGGAGTGTAGTCTTACCTCTTCTTTGGAAATAAAATGGATGTGGTACCAATTCACCCTGCTTTGTGCTCTGTTAGACCCACTCTGTAGCTTAAACTGACACTGAGAGGAGAGCTGAGCACAAAGCTCTGTCTCCTTTGTAACTTCATTTTTTTTTTTAAAGTACACTTTGTTTCTCTTTTTTTTTTTTTTCCCCTGTAAATTCTTCTCCTTCCTCAGTAACTGTTCCACAGTACTTTGGAAAGCTATCATCTTACAATCCATTAACATGACTTGATGTAATGTTTTACTGATCGTGGCTGGTTTATGGAAGTTGTCTCATGCCAGCAGCTGTGAGGGGGGTACAGAGTGGCACCCACTACACCAGAAGATGGGGCTAGCTAATGGCATATGGGAATCAGGAGTGGATGGCTGCAGGAGGGGACTGCTACTTCACCAAAGACCTTCTCCAACAGCTGGAGTGGAACAAGGCTTCTGCTGAACACCTGGCTGCAGGCAGACACTGGTATCTCACCTGCTTCCAGAGGGGCAGAACTGTGCTCCACTCAGGATGAAATGACCCAGCAGGGAATTTACATCAGCTCAAACACAGCGTCATGAAGCATTTTTCAAATGAGCCTTGCTGCTCCCTAGTAGTGCCTCATGTGAGATAAGCCATTGTGCTCTTGCTTAATCCTTTGAAGAGAAGGGAAGGATTTGGTGTAATCTGGTCAAGCCCATTTTTTTTCTGTATATTGGAGTACTGGTTTCCATTAACGGTAATTACGAATTTTTCTACTGTCTTAGCAGTCAGTTTTGCAGAGGAAAGTCTGCTGCCTTTTTACTTCCTCCAGTGGTGAATCTGAAACAGCAATGATCCGATCCCAGCGGTGCAGCTCAGCCCCAGCTGCAGCGGGGATGGACACCGTAACTCTGACATAGGAGATGAAGCAGGCACAGCACCAGGTGGCACTAATGAGGTGCGGAGGGGACAGGGTCCTTTTACCTCCATGCTCAATATGCCTCTGAGGGTGCTGGATGTCAGGTGATCACTTAGCCAAGTGAAACACGGACAGTTCTCTACGTATTTGTGTTTTAAGATGCAGAATCATATTCCCTCTGTCCAACAGATTAGAACTTCTGCTCTCCAGACACTAAGCATATGAGTCTTTCTAAGGACACTGCCTTGTACTGTCATCAAATCCTTAAGATGGGACATGTGTTGAAGACTCCAGACAGTGAGACATGCTAAAGCTACCAGTGTGCTGCCCTAAAAAAATAACTCATTACTGAACTGACCAGAAAAAAAAAATCATTGTTAGTCAAATGTCTGTGTTCAAGAGAGTGGAAAAGTGCTTTGATGGCCTTGATTCTTGGATACTGATTGGATTGATATTCTGATTTGTTGCTTCCTTGAAGTTTTGCACAGAGGGTGGTTCAGGGTGTTCTCAGAAAATAAATGTTTGCATGGGCTTGGCTGTGGTATGGGCATCCAAGTGCCAACCTGAAAACTGCTGACACTCAGTAAAACTGTTCTAAATTTTTGAGTAGGAAAGTTTCCAGCAATGTCAGGATGGTAATTAGCGATTGATTTTCACTTGGCAGCTTGCCATGTAGTCAGTGACAGACACCAGAACTCTTTTAACACATTTAATGGGATTTTTCCTTCCATTTACACTATCATAAATTACAAAGCATATTTCACTTCACAAAATAAAACCATTTCCAGATCATTTTTATGACAGTATTAAGTAGTACATAACCTACAACAAATAGTCCTGTAGAAGACAGGAGGATCTATGGAAGTATTGGGAACTCAGACTATTTAGCATTTGTTCTGCAACCTGGATTAATCTATCTAGCCCTTAGTTATTTCTCTAGAAGACAACAAATTTACAATCATACCCTCTACCTCCCTTCATTATCATAGTTACAGATATTTTTCAGTTTGAATAGAAACATGCTCCCTGAAATAATTCAGGAAACTGCATCACTGAGTTACCAAGCATATGATACAAATGATCAAGATGAGGGAGTATTAGAATTTTTTTTTTATTGAAAACTGAGTTTGGTAGTAAAGTATGTTGATTTTCTATGCTTGAAGAAACATCTCATGCTGAGAAACAGTTTTAACATTAGGAATAAGTTGCAGTTAGACTATGAACTCTGTAGGTCAATGTTTGTGAGGGGAGAAAAATATTAAAATTTGGTAATAATTAAATTTACCAGCTCCCACATGTCCTACATATTCTGTCTTTTTTCTTTTTTTTTTTTTTTTTTTTTTTTTTTTTTTTTTAAACAAACCATCAGGAAACACATTCAAGATAAATACCTACATTTTTAGCAGATTTACTGTACATTTATAAATACAGAAACATGACAAAACATAACTCAATTTTTACAGAAAAACCAAATCCTTCATTATTCACCCAAAAAAGTGCTGACTTTTCAACAAGGCCAGAAAATATCCAGTGTCCCAGCATCACTTAACTTAACCAAGAAAAATCTGGCATGTGAAATTGATACTACCACCAGGACTTTTGAAAAATTCTCAAGACCATATTTTACATGGGAGAAAAAAAAAAAAAAAAAAAAAAAAAAAAAAAAAAAAAAAAAAAAAAAAAAAACAACACAAAAAAAAAAAAAAAGGAGAAAATAGCATGTTTTCGGAAATGGCAAATGGCTAAAAGTGTACAATCTTAGGATGCTAGTGCCTGAATGCAAAGAAACCTAAGGAAAGCTGAAATGCGCACAAGAAAATTATTCTCCTTTAAAACACTTGCAGTGAAAGAGGTATGTCAGGATAATGCTGCATTAGTGGCAATTGTTTTCAATATATCATAGCAAAAATGCAGGAAAGAATTACGTGGAAAATAATCAATGCACCGCATTGATTTATAGTTTGCTAAAATAAAATGCCATTCTTTCAGCTAGGTAAAGTAAAAATATCTTTATAATATAGGTTCTGTTTCACAATTGACATATATAATTATGTCTCATGAAGAAGGAAATGTATAGGCGCATACAAGTAACACTGATTAAGTACCTTTTTGCTTCTCTAGCCATATTAAAATACGTTTTGTGTTTCTTAATAAGTTAACAATAAAATTGTTCAAAACTTCTCACAACAAATATACATCTGAGGCAAGGCAAAAGATACAAGGTAAAAGGATTTTTTCTGACCTTCTTTATCCCTTCTACAAAGAGGCATATGTCTATGAGACATAGGCTTTCCCTAAACATTTTGGCATCCATCTGCAACTTTGCAGAAATCGAAGTGCAGTCAAGGAACTCTTCCTTTCTGTTTAAAAAAAAAATTAAAGAAATGTTGTTTTTCCTTCGAACTAATTACTTAAAAACAAATGGCTTTGAAGATACGCCTCTCTGTCTAAAAGAGAACATCTTCATTTTCTATTAAAATCTGCACAATTAACTTCTGGTACCGCATGTCATTCAGTGTAGCAAGGGTACTGTCCTCTGGGGGTCTCATTAAAGTAGGTCCAAACACTATTCCCAGGTTTTCAGCATTCATAAAATTCTCCTTTTCATGCAATGTAACCCTAAAATAGAAAAAAAAAAAGTATTTGGTTGCTTACTTCCCATAAGAACAGAATCTCTGCATCTTTATCTGCAGTCTTGCTTCACATCAAACATTGGTAGATAATGACATTTTTCAGTAACAATTTTTACTTTCACTCAACATAGTAACTGCTTCCACAACAAGTACAATGCAGCTATGGTGGGGCTGTGATTTCTAGTGCCTTTAAACAACTCTCATGTGATTCTTAAGTGATTTTTCCATGTGACTATCTGTTAGGGTATATGAATTAGAGGCAATTGCTTTTTAAAAAGCATAATTATGATTTAAATTATGATGTATGAACAGTCCTCTATGCTACAGTGACTACAGTTTTCTGGCACATTGTGCTTGGTGTGCATCACACTGGCAGTGGGGATGTGCTCCACAAATGCAAACCTGGATTTTCTTTAGACTACCCATGTTTCCAGACATGCGTCCAGTCTGCAGGAACCCACCCTTTCACACATATCTGACTTGCTGGCTGCCTCAGGCCAACCAACAGCTCAGTGGTTCCAATTAGTTGTTATACTTCAGGAGCAGGCTGAATCCTGGAGCAGCCTGGAGAGGCGGCTTGCTAAAATCAGGTTGCTATAAATGCCATCTGTTCTTGACAGAGAACAGAGGTGCTTCTAGGAAGCAACCCAGGATCTTTTGTTCACTGACATAGGTTATATAATGTAAATAGAAGGAGAGATAGACTATTTGCGGCTGGAGCAAAGACCACCAAGGATTGGCCAAGCTGTGTAGAAGTCAGCCTTGACTGGAAAATCAGTCAAACCTGCCAGAAAACGCAAGGTGTGTGGAGGTTTCCCTCCAGATAACAGAGTTGGATCACACAAGTGTCATCCTGCCTGAAGGCATATTGAGTTCAATCCTGAGAGTGCTCATGTACTGCAGTGTAGGACAGCCACAATCCCTTGATCAGTTCAGGTCCCTCATGGACCAGACATTTGCTGTGATAAGTACAGCACGGATGAAGTTTCACATCTCCTTCATACAAATCCTCTGCCGGAGTGGGGCACATCTGGCTTTGGAGACAGGTCTCCTGGCAACAGCTGAGACCTCCCCTAGCATGGCAATTGCCAGCTGGGCATTGTGAGTGGATTCATTCATGGCATCAAGGGAGCACAAAGTGGCTGAAACCAGAAGTAGTTTGGTCTTCCCTTCTTTGTGAGGTACTTATATGACTCAGTTTTGCTTCTACTGTTGTCTCTCTGCCGAGAATGGCTCTGTCACAGAAAAATACTGTTCCTCTTTGCTTTCAGGACAGAAGTCCATTAGTGCCCCTACTCACAGACACATCATCTTCTAGCACAGATGCACTAGCTGTGCTTTGCAAGGAGCAAAGACACACCAAGGCTGCGTAGCCCAAGCCGCCTCTGTGCAAGTGTATGTGTAGCACTGCTTTCTCTCTGTGCGTCTGTGCTGCACGGCCTGGGGTGAAAACACAAAGAAGATTCACAGCTTCACTGCAACATCACCACGAAGGAGTTGTATGTATTTCACCACATGCTATTGCATTTCCTCCAACTTTGAGCAAAAAGTTATCAGAAAGATAACTGAAGAAAACAACTAATTGACCGACAAACTCATTTTTTGTTGCTGACATTGGCCTCTGCTGGATTTTCCTGTGCTTTTAAGAACAACTCAGTGCAGTTTTTTTTCTGTTGAGAAGCAGTGGTGGCGTAGAGGCAATCATCCTGCTGTCTTTACATAGACTCCCTTATACTGGTGTGTGTTTTGTCCACAGAGGAAGAGTCCTAGAGGGTTGAAGTTCGAACTCTGTGTTTAATCTACAAAACAGCGTAGTCTGAACCTAAAGGATTCTTTCCTCTTTCACACTCAGATCTCTCCAAAAGATTCTCCATGGGAACTGACATGCACTTGATTTCCATGCAGATGCCAAAAGCTATGATATGGGAAAGAAGATGAAATTCGTTGCATGACTTGCAGGTATTTGAGAGAGAAAGCTTAATCAGCTCTTTGGACTATTTTTGTCTCATCAGTAGTTCAGCTCAACAGCTGAACCAAAGCCTGGACTGCAGTTTGGGAGAAGAAAGAAGGCAAGTCAATACATGTCTATTAAAAATCTGCTGCCGGGATATGAAAGTACTGATTCTGCGTGCAGCTCACTTGCCCACGGCCAATATGGTTGATCCTGAGTTGTCCATGCATATGTGCAGACAAGGGTGGATACTTAAACATCTCATTTCTGCAGAGTCCAAAGAAGTTCTCTCATGCCCAGGTAATGTCTCATCAAAGGGGAAAATTACTCATTTGTAATGACCTGAGCTGATTCAAAATGAGGAAAAGTCTCTGCATAATGAAAACCGGAATGAGCATGAAATGCACTTCACACAAGTTCTCTGATGCAATTTTACATGAGATGAGGTATTTTTCTTTTTTGGTTGGCATTAATAGTGCAGAATAGTGAAGATCAAATCCAGAAAATACTCCACATTTGTAACTGTGTTGCAAGAAGTGGGACAATTAAGAAGAAATCAAGGTTTTGCTGTGTAGAAGGTTAGTAGCTTTATTGCTCCCTTATCCTCTTTTCTTTAATCACAGACAAGGAATATCTTGCGCAAGATATCCATAAATGAAGGTTTGCTTTGAGATGACTGTGCCAGTCTCTACTCAGCTTCAGTTTTTAAATATGTAGAAAGAAGACTTCTTGAGGCATGTAAATACCCAAAGCAGCAAAGTGGAGTTAGCGTGCTTTTGAAAAACAGTTTTGCTTGAAATCAGTGGAAGTGAGGCACCCTCTTTGGAAAACTCCTTAGTTTTCCTAGATACCTAGCTGAAAACTTGGAAAACTTGGCAGTACACTCCCAAGTAACTTTCAAAAATGAAATTTAGGCACTTTAGAAAATTTTGTATGCCTTATGAGGCTTTATGTTTGCCTTATGAAGCCCCTCATGAGTGTCTTATGTATGCCTAGAGAAGCTTTGAAAAGCAAATGAGGCAGTGCGTTTAAAACCAAAAGAGATGTAACTGGGGCCTGTATTGCTTTTACTAGTCATATAAAAATAGGTCCTGCTTGATTCTTGGCTTACTCTGATGTGAGCAAACAACTTGTAAGAGACAGTTCTTTCCTTTTAGGGTTATTGTTCAAGAAGACAAATCAGGAGGTAAGGGGAGGCAGAAGCAAAGCATGTTCAAGTGCCTTACAGCAGCAGCACATCTAGCACATCTCTGAAGTACCTACCATTTGGTATTTTTCAGATATTATCTGCCTCAGACAACTGTGACAATTTTCAATTAACTCTTCAAAGGTTAGCGATAATAATCCAGCAAAAGGACTCATGCTATGTATGTGCATAGCTTATATGCACTTATACAAACAGCTTGTCTGCTTATCTGTACTGGCTTGGTGGCAGTGTCCTAATGGAAGCTTTCTTGGTACTTTCTGTAATATTTCCCTTTCAAAGCAAAGAAAATTGTTAAGCTCTTCAAAAATCATCCTGCATGTCAATTAACTTACTTCTTGAGATGAATCATTAGGTATCTAAGTGTCTCGTAGTGAGCAGCAGGGAGTAACATCAACACTTCATGTATTGCTTCTAGTCGTTCATCAGGATTGGAGATTTCTGTGAAAACACCAAACAGGATTAATGTTAATAGGGCCTTCCATGTGTAAACAGCAATAAATCAGGAAGATAACTTATTATTATGGAATCATTTATAAGCCATTGGCTGTGCTTGGAGGGATAAATATTAAACTCATAAACGTGGAGCTTATCAGCAAGTTCTATATCCTCCAAAAAATGGCCTTAGAAAGAAATCAGCAAAAAAGACCACCCAGGAGTTACCTCCATGGTCTTTAGCTCTATCTACAGATCTGTTTAGGTACAGTACCCAAGCTTTGTTAAGTGCTTCATAATATTACTTGTCTCAGAACACTCTCACTAAAATCTTACCTAAGATTACTTCCATTAGTCTTCAAAACCAGATGGGAATGTGGATATATGCTGTTAGAACCTACGCTTGAATATTTAGCTAGAGGTTGAAGTGGCATGGAATTGTTTCAAGATTTCTGAACATATTTAAATATGTAGGTATCAGTGATACCTACATATACTGAGTATCAGCACTCATTTAAAACTCTTTGGCAATCTCTCTAAAAATCTGAGCAGGATTTACACATATTTTACATAAGAAGTATAGATTCCCAAGCTGTGAACTACGTCAGTCAAATTTGCTACATGACTTTTCATTCAAATGGCACCAGGAGCCCCAAATATGAGAAGACTAGGAATCTCTATGGCCTGCTCTTAAGAGATTGGTGCATGGATTGGAACTGCTTCTCCTGGGCACGTTCTTTACAAGCAAGAATAATTTCTCTGCCAAGGAGGAATTAGGAAGAGGAGAATGCATGGGGAGTGCAAGCTGGGGAAAGCCAGCAGGAAAGGGAAGGCAGCACAATCACACAGACAGATTACTCTGGCTGCTGCTTATTGATATACATTGTGGATGGGAAATGTAGTTAAAGATTGGTACAAATTACTATGCAATACTTACTTGCTGCCTCTATGAACTTGGAATAGGTGTCATAGGTGATAACGGGGATTGGTAGGTCTCTGAAGTATAGCTTCAGTGCTCCGGCAATGATGTTTATGTCTGGATAAATACTGGCAGAAATATCAGCCTTGTCACCATCTAGAAAAGGAGAAAGAAATCTTTTTGAAACCACAGTAATTCTGAAGCACGGCTTGACTTCTAATTCAGATTTATTATATGCAACCTGACAGGAAAAAACAACCTGAAAGCATTTGGAAGGCTTAAATGAGAATATATTGCTACCAACTTTACAATATATAAATGAGAAATGGTAGTTTCTATATGTTTTACTAAACAATTTATTTGTTTACATCTTTTGGAGGGGCTGGTCATTACATCATCTATATCTGCAGTGTATCATCTCAAACATAATGTTTTAATATTGGATGATAAACCACATTAATAATATATTTCTTGCATTTGGCCCATTTTTTCACTGAAAATAAGCTATTAATAACTTGTTCTGATGTTGAATTTTCTATCTGCAGATCAGTGCCCAGGAGTATGAACTATTTTTTTCATCTCCCCTTGGGGAACCAGAAGCACAGAGAAATAATACAAATTTCCAATGACCATCAGGAGACCAGTAGGAAAAATCAGACTAAACATCCAAATGTATCTGTAGTGATTAGCTAGTAAGGAAGCTGCATTATTGTCTAGATACCTTTTAATGTCTTAATATTTGACTCATTTATTTATAGCAAAGATCTGAATTTAAATAGGCATGCTAAGGCATTTAGCTATACAATTTATTCTGAAATGTGGATTGCAATTTCTTAAATGAATATGGATACTTGTAGTGGATGAACAGCTAAACAGATGAATTATGCAACTGAAATGGCATGCACTTTGTTCGCCACATTATAACACAGTTAGTCAGAACTCTATTATAGAGCACTTCTGAACACATGAGCCTAAAGTTTCCAAGTTTTGCTGGTAAGTCCTTGACTAATGCATGGCTTCCAATGAGTGAAATTGCACAAAGTAGCAGCAAGGCTGAATCACTAGCATTTTTCAAGTTCAAATTACCACATCTCTTCTGTGCTACCTAGGACCCTCATACCCGCATTTTTCTCCAGATTGAGAAAACTTGCTGTCCTCCTTTCCTGGGACCTGTCCTTGGTGGTCTTCCAGTAGAAAGATGGGTCAAGTAGCTGTGGCTGTCTGGATTTAACTCTCAGCTTTACCTCAGGCTTCTTTGAGATTAGCAATAACCCGTAGTCTTTATTTCCCACCATTCAACTAAGGATACTAGTGCTTCCCTCACAGCAGGTGGTGAAGATTAGGACCATACCGTGAGTGGGGTGATGCAGGGCTATGCTTGCTTGAAAGGCAGAGAGGGGTTTGCTTGCGTCTGCCAGGAGGTGCAAGCACAAGCTTGGGCTGTTACCACTGAGGTGCTGACATGTTGTAAAGCCATTGCCTTGCTTGTCTCACAATAACAAGTGCTTGTAGACATGCCCTGGTACAGACAGATGAATGGGTGTGCTTGATACACGGCATCTAAGATGGAGATAAAGGCTTTCATAGCAGAGTAAAAGAGTTTATATTGATTGTAGAGATTTTTACAAACCTATGGCATTAATCTTGCAGGGATACGTTCTGTCCAATGTATGCACATAATTCTCATTAAGACTAATAGCACTACATGTTCTCATCAAGAGGAGATTACATGCTTAAATGTTTAAAACAAACAGCCTTTCTTGATGCAGCTGAACAGTCTGAATACATCCATCAGCATTTAATGTAATACAGCATCAATAAGCCCTAGGAGGATGTTTACACTGCCCCAATCTTTTGTTTAATCCACACGTTCCAGGCACGGTAGCATTAGTCTTGTGAAGCTTTGTGTGAAGAGCTCTATTTAATTGATGGACACTGAGCACTCAAAATGCCCCACTGAAAACAGATACCTCCAAGGAGCCAGCAGCTGCATCGGAACAGATATAGCAAAGCAGCAGCTTACATCTATTATCCAGGTCACCAGTACACTAAATGGAAGTGTTATTTATTTAGTACTTTTACAAAGCAGCCCAGCAAGCATCCTTAAAGGGGCACTTTAGATTGAGGAACTTCAAACTACAAGGTACTTCAAACATACCTCTTATTTACATATCTGCTTACTCTAGGAAAAATGCATGAATTCCTGAGTCAAAGATTTTTCTCTTCACTTCAGAGACAAATACACATCCATTAGAAATGCACTGAAGTTTATTTTAAAGTAAGCACAACAATACATCTGCTATAATATACTCTATGCACTTCTGCAGTGGATGTGAAGGGGGAGATGGATTTTTTTTTTCCTTTCATAGGTTTTGGATTTTTTTTCCTTCCAGTTTCATCAGTTGAAGGCCCTTGGCAGGCTGCAGTTATTTCTTATCCTCATCAAATTCCTGGTTTTGTATTTTTTTTTTTTTAAGAACACACTTTACACATACTTAAAATTCAAAGCACTAAGAAAGAAAAGTTAATTCATTGCCAGAAAAGTCATGACACGTATTTCACAGAGGATCCTCTGCAGTAGCAGACTGTATGAACTACATGTGGTTTATAGGCTATCGTCTGCATTACCACAATAATTTTTTTTTTCACTCTTCAATATAGGGATTCTCATCAGATTATAGTTGCTATTTTCACTATCATTGCAGTGGCCATGTGTTAATACATATTTGTTTTTCATACATTTTGGATTACAAACGCATAGTTCATTTCAGCTGTACAAACCTAATCCTACCCAAACCCCATCACTTATCTTTCCTTGTTACTTTGACTCTCAGTGTATTTTGTTGCATTATGTTGAAGTTTTAATACCTCTAGACAAAGAAGGTCTTTATGCTTTTCCTTAAAGGTTTCAGCTGACTTTGGATGCCATTGAAATATATCAATACTTTATTAGAGAATGAAATAGAATAAGTGTTACATTCTTAAAGCCTCAGCTATGCCTTCTGAATACTGAATTAGATTTTTCTTAAGTTCCTTTTTCCAAAATGCTTTGTTTTTATTGCACAACCTTTACCATTCTAACATGCTTCTTTGTGGTTTTTCTTGGATTTGGCATTTGACAGGTTTTCACTGCTAAAAGGGTGAGCATGAATTAGGATGCCTCTAAGTACTCATGTAATATTTAACAGCATAATATTTTTAGCAAGTGTATTGTACCAGCCAGTCATACAAACAAGTGGGAGGACAGAATGCAGTGGTGACAATGGCAGCTCTGTGGATTAAGCACACAATGGGTGTTTTCTGGATGCCACAACGCCACAGCTCAACAATGCTGACAGAGAGCAACTGTCATTCTATAGCACCAACATTCACCAGATTAAATAAATCCACATTATTCCCCTCCTTCTCATTACAGAAATCACTAAAATGGAACATTGTCAGTGCCTCAGAGAGGCTAATGCTAATTTACAGTAGGGTTTTTACACTGCTTTGGCTTTGGAAAGCAGTCTTAGTTTAAATCAGATGAGGACCAACTTCACCCTGTTTTAAAACCAACTATCACAGTTTCACTGGGCCCAAGTAATATTATGTGGGATGCTGCTCTCTTCCCAAGATGTTAACTTTGCAAACTTGCCTTTGCTTTTCTGTTCTTGCTCTAATTCTTTGGAAGCAACAAGTGTCTCTTTGTCAAAGCAGAATTAGTCAGAGGGAGGGCTGGCTTCTCTTCATTGCACCCCTTCAGCTGCACAAGGGATCAGCAGGAGAGGTACCCTACAGCCAAGTCAGCCCCCACGCCTCATTCCTGTATCATATTGTCTTCTGGCCCCTGTGGTTTGATGAAGAGCATGGGAACCAGAAAGCTTGATGGCATTATTTCAAGGATGCATCCTGTGCATTAAAATGGCCTGTCTATTTTCAACCCCATTTATTAAAAGCTGTATTTCTGGAGATGCAAAAGTGTACTGGCATTTTAGCCAGGTGCCTGGGGGCTGACTCAGAAATGATGGGCAGGAAGTGACCTCTGTAATGACCCAGTTCAGTGTTCTGCTACTGCACGCACCATGCCATATAACCCTTCTGGTAAACCCTGCAACTTCCACTTCTAAAACTGGTTAAGGTTTTTTATCCCTGCTCTTATGAGAAGGTTGTTTCAAAGGCTTCCTTTCAGATGGTTAAAAAATGGTCTTTGAAGTGTCAAACAAAATTTATTCCTGGCCAGTGTACATCCTCTAGTACTGTGTCAAAACTATAAAGATTTCTCTTCTCTTGTTCATACCTCTGCTCTCAGCATCTCCTTTGACTATCCCAAGCTACTTTAAAACACAATTACCTTCTGCTATGCAATGTTCTCCAGAGATATCTAGATAGTGATGTGACCACAGATTACCAGGTGTTCTCTTGCAACACCTATCTATTAACCAGAAATGATCAGGAATTTTCCACTTCACATTTCATATACAAATTTTCCCTTTTTATTTTTTTTTAACTTAAAAAAAAAAAAGTTAATTTCCTGTAGTGAATGTGGAAATATGAATTCTGTAAAACTCCATAGACTTCACATTCTGGGCAGAAAATTAAATTTTAACAAAAAATTTCCAGGTGGTGCTGGAGGCAACACCTGCCACCTGGCTCTCAGGTCCCTTCTCTCCCAGCTCTGTCACCTGGTATATTCCAGGTGAGAACTGGGATATTCTGCGTCCTTGGATGGTTCACTCCATGCTGCTCTGGCTTCTAGTGCTAAGCAGGGGTAACAGGGCAGCAGAAAAGCAATGTTCCTACCTATGGGGCTGGGCTGCAAAAGAGAGAGTGGTTCCTTGCCTCTGTAAACTTCAATCTGACATGACCTGAGCTGTCATGTTGGAAGTATCTTGCCAATTCAAATTTTTGCCAGGTGACAATGACCCTCTAGCTGCACAACCCACAAGTCAGAAAAAAAAAAATCTTTTTTTTTTTTTTTTTTTTTTTTAAAATCCTTCCTGCAAAAATCCTCAACTCCTCCTGCCCTTCCATCTCAGTTTAGGGAGAAAACATTTTCAAACCTGGAAAGGTTTGGAAGTTCTCAGCTTCTGATCTCCCCAATACTCTAGTCCTATAATTCTCATTACAAGGTTTTGTTCATTGTTCTGCTGCTTTTATGTTTGTTTTTTTTTTTTTTTTTTTTTTTTTTTTTTTTTTTTTTTTTTTTTTTTTTTTTTTTTTTTTTTTTTTTTTTTTTTTTTTTTTTTTTTTTTTTTTTTTTTTTTTTTTTTTTAATTCATGGCAAAACTCTCTTTCTTAGCCCTTTCTCCTCATGAAACTGTTAACAAAAATGAAGACACAGATTTTTATGAATTTATGTCCAATGGTCTTCCCCACAGCCTTTGTATACAGATTCTTAGCTTTGAAAATCCAAAGCTGCTAGTCCCCTTACTCTTCCTGTTTCTAGGTGCTGCTGCCTTTGCTAGTAAATCACACTTTCTTCCTTGCTGTGGATCTAATTCAAGTGTGTATTGCCATCAATTGTGCTGTGAATTTAGGCAATAAATAGTCAATAAACTGACTTGGCTCCAGTGGTTCAAAGCATTTGCAAAGGAACTGCAGCTGCAGCAGTCTTGAAGTCATGCTCAGACATAAATTTAGATCTGCTTTCTTCCAACTCTACAACCTGTGCCTCTGGGTTTCATTCAGGTTGTTACACTTGGAGGAGAATTAAAACACAGAACAAAAGGGTTTGTCAGGCCAGATCTACCTTCAAGGAGCAGAATGGGACTTGTGCCACAGGAATCAATGCTACTGAGAGGATCACGGTCCTCACATCTGCAACACTGCCTTCCTATGATAGCACTGACATCACTGTGCATCTCTCTTGCCCAAATAATTCCTGACCTATGTCTGTATATGCATAGGTTCACAACTACAGCATGCAACATATTTAAAAATATGTATTATTTTTAAAGAATATTTCAGCATGAAAACAGTCAATTTGGAAATTGCTAGTTGAACTTTCTTTAAGGTGAAATCTGTATGATAAACTGCCTAAAACACAAAGTGTTAAGGCACGGTAAGATGTGGCACCCACAGACCTTGCTGGCCTGTGCAGCCTCCCCTGGAGCCCTCAGACCTCCTGCCCATGGGCCCCCAGGGCCCTCAGTCCCTGCCTGAGTGACATCCCAGCTGTCTCCAGCTGCGTCATGGCCATGCTAGTGCTTGTCCATGCACCCTTCTGGTTGCTACCCTGACCCACAGGCTGGCTTTCTGGCTTAACCTGGGCCTTGTCCCCCAGGGGCTTGTGATCACTGTGCTGTGTCTAATCCTATTCCCTAATACAGCAGAGGTAATATCTGAAAAAATTAAGTTCGAAGGAAAACACTATTTATGGGAAAGGAGAAGAATACTCATGTAACTTCTTAAATGTACTTGAAAAGGTGTTTTCTATTGATGAAGGTTCTACCCTGCACTCACTTACATATCCGCTTTAAATTAGTTCTGTGTGCAAAGACTGTGTGCACAACCAGAACCAACACAATCAGCTCAGTCAATTCAGAGGGGCTATGAGGATGGTAATCAGTCAGTGTTTTAATAATTAATTCTTCAATATGCTGTCCAACCAATCTCCTCAATGCTCCTCTCATCTGTTGTGCAGATGGAATCACATGCACAGTGGTGCAATGTTTTTTAAAAGGCTACATGCAGAATGACTTCCCAGTTGGAGTTCCTGGTCCTTAAACTCATAAATAGATTATCGTATTGTAAAGCACTGAGTCTATTAAAGACAGAACTAAGAACTTTCCCCTGGCACCATCTAGGCTCATAATTGAACTAGGGGCTGAGGCTGTGCTGCTAGGCTGACCAATCATCCAGTCACCTGCTTAGCCTTCTACCCACCAATTCTTAGTGTTTAATTATTCCTTCCAACTGTGAAACATGTTTTCTTCTTATGAAAAGGATTACAGATTAATTTAAGGACTCAGAAAAGACAGGTTGCTTTCTGTACTTCTGTTTATATGCCAGTTTCGTTCCCATGTTACCTATATAACCCCACAAAGAACTGAAAGGTCCTAGAACTGAAAGCTTAATTAAAACTGTACAAGATTAAAAAATGGTGTACCTCGATCAAAGGCCATTTTCACATCTTCAATATGCTCAGTGAAGCCTGAGACTCTATAGAGGCCTTCAGACTTCAAACCTGAAACAAAAAATTCTTGTTTTACTTAGCTTCAATAACCAACAAATATTTAGGCTTAAAAACAGTAAAGCAAGAACAACAGAGCTACTAAGTGTAACAAAATATTATTTGCAATGTGAAACTCCACAGCATTTAAGGAAAGATCAAGATGATCTTAAATAGTTTCTTAAAAGGATTAAAGAATTTCAAAATTTTTACTTTCTGATTTTGTTAGGTACATGGTTGATTTGATTATGTTAGAGGGAAATACTGCAATTTGCTAATGGTGAGGCATGTGATATTATTTATTCCTTTTATGTAGGAGATTTTCCTGGATTTGACTATAATTAATAAAGCTTTAGAGGTCTCCCTTCTTTTTACCAGTTGCTTAATGATAAATAGCAATTCAAGTAAAAGACTGCCTCTCCTGTGAGCACATTTCTTTCCTGTTTTGCTGTCAGCTTTTACTTATACACAGCTGAAAGATGCGATGGATACAGTTCTTCTCACCATCAGAACATCCCTTCTATAGTTCTTTCACACAAGTGATCTGCTCACTTGCACAACTCTCCCCACATTGCTCCATGCCAACATGCAATGGAGGGCAGCCCAGCACAGCATGCTGTTACCCACGTTATTTATTTTAATCCTAGAATTCCTTATTGCAACTGTGCACCATGTTAGCCTACTTATAAGTTCCAATGTTTTCTTAAGAACAAAATCAGAATCTTTAATAGTTCTGTGGCAACTAAAGAAAAAATATAAAGATATTAAAAAAACAGAGAGCAGGCAACAGATTTTATCTTAATCAGTAAATGTACAAGTAAGTGATTAGATCTCAAATGCTATGTAGCTTCCTGCTATATCATTGGAGTAAAGCTCTTCTGTCTTAGTCTGTACTATTCTTTTTATTTGTCCCTGCAATGATGATATAATCCTGGTAGAGCTTTATGGAGCAGTGCAGGGGATTTACTATAAGTCTTTGATTCAATTCAGCAGATGATGCGTGGCTTTGAAATCCCTGTGGCTAGTATCAGTGTGTTGCTATGCAGATTACTGGGATGCCATGAATTTAACATTATGAGATTCCTGTGCTGAAGCTGTGACTAACAGGAAAATTTGGCTTATTGGGCAACACAACATACACATTTGCTATCCAAAGCAAAAATACATGATTATTACAAAGGGGATACATGATTATTGGAGGGGATATGTTTTTCCTTCAATCTGGCACAAGTCTGTTTACCAAAAAACTGTCACTAGCTTGAGTTTTGGCTGTGACATGCTGCCTGTGCCATGGGATCCATCAGTCGGTAACCGAGCATCATGAGAAACCCTGAGCAGTTTGTGTCCTACGACAAAACACCACAGCCTGTGACCTCACTTGTCTGAGTCACTTTCAGTCAGTTGTGTTCTCTTGCTCACAATGCTTGTAAAGGTTATTAAGAGTGGATTCGATTTAAACTGATTACTCCAAAATTGGACGGATCCCTAGGTATGGTAAAGTAAAGTAATGAAAAAAGACACATAAACATGAACTTAAAAGTTCACTTTAAAGTTCACCTCTTTCAGAAGTGTAACATAATACATGTTTTGACATGTTTCAGAAAGCATTTCAGGAAATTGTATTAAGAAATGCCATGATTTAATTTTACTAGCTAATGCAAAGCAATGTATCACCTGCACTAAAAAAACCCTTCTCTCATCCTGTCCTCAGTGCACATGAGCATACTACCACGTTTGAGCTCAGCATATTATTCAAGCCATCTTCATTTCATTGTGTCTGCTGCTTTCCTAAGCATACAAACCTCTTGCTTCAATCTCCCGAATGCATGAATCCACAACCATGGGCCTCTGGGTATTGTGGGCTTTCACCAGTGTGGTGAGATCGCAGCAGTAGACTCGTTTTATCCTCTTGAGGTCTGGTTGACAGTCGTTGGGCACGTATTTGGAGCACTGCTTATGTACGTTCAACCCACAGTCTGTAAGCAAAGTTAGCCAGGTTAATTAATTAATACTGGTGGCCAGTCTCTTCGCGAACGAAGAACCGGGGAAGGTCTTTACACCTTCCAGCCTGCGCATTGGATTTTTTAGGTGAGACACAGTGTGCGCGGAACTGAGCCCACCCTTTAATCCTGAGGTTCATCTGCCGGGGCCAAGCACGCTTGGCACGCTTGGACGGTGGCAGCGAGGTCCTCAGGACGTAGATGGATTGCCTTACAGGGCTAACGAGCTCCATCTGCCCGGGGAGGGGCCCCGACCGGGAATCGAACCCGGGTCTCTGCAGTGACAGTGCAGTGTGTTTTCCTCTATACCACCGGGGGCTCCTAATTAATTAATACTAATGCTGATAGGTCCTGCCTAGCAATTGGTCCATGTTAAGCGAGGGGTACAACTTCCCCATCAGCCAGCGAAGATAAAATAAATAGGGTGCAGATGAGAAAGATGAGCATGGAAATGTGTAAAAATCTTACAGTGGGAGAAATGAACTCCAGCAGTGTTCTAAAAAGGTATAAAGACTCTGAATGTTCCTCACATCCCTCTGAGATGTAGGTGATCGCTGATGTAGTCTGGATTGGTTTGTTACTGGACACATAGCTCAAGGTGTTGCATTTGAACATGTGAGGCTTAACTTCTGGGTATTTTAGATTAGCCTTAAATAAAGCTGGCACAGACTGTCTTCTGCTGGTTGTCTTGAGGCTTAGCACTGGTCACAGTTGAAGAACCTAAGATTCACCTGAACACTCAAACTGGGACAGTGCCTTGAGCTAGTGTGCCTCACTCTGCCTTCCGCATTCCTGCAGTGTCACATTTTGGCTCGCTCTGCCACATCAGCAGACTCCTCATCTCTGGCTCATCACTTCAATGGTGACTTAAGTCTCCCCTGTGTTTAGTCTGTAGGTCAGTTAAGGCATATAAAATGCTGTGAAAGGCATGATGTTAAAAAGGGATTCATTATACAAATAGCTCTTGTTGTCTTACTCCAGAGTCAAATCCTACTCTCAGTGGCACGGGTAGGTTTCTGTTAACTTACACATCACTTTTTCATCTCCACAAATTGAATTTTTCTAATAGACTCAAATATTCAGCCAAATGAATTTATAAGCTTCAGTAAACACCACCATCGTGAGTTGCATTATCTCACATAACTCTGATTTCTGTTTTAATACCTTCCCAGTCATGCCCATCACTGGTGGTACCCTTTGAGTTAACATTAGGCTGTTAAAAATGTAAACATGACTCTATTATTTGCAGCACGTTTCAGTATTATACTCTATAAAATATTAATCAGGCAAAATCATATACAAACACATCTCAGCATTTAATGGAATTGGTTGGGTTTTTGTGTGTTTCTCCATACAGTTATTACTGCATAATACATTGTTGTTCTGTGAAATCTAAACAAATGTGAACAGCTGTAGTTAGGATCCTCCCTGCATTGTTTTCAGTGCAGTTCTCCAAGCACATGAAGTTAAATCCAAATGCATCTGTCTACTTAGAGTTAAACGTTCATAATTTAATGAGGGAGTGTGTTATGTTTCATGCTAAATAAACAACTCTTTTCATAAATTTAATACTCTAGGTATGTGAACAAATATAGTGTTATGCATTAGTGAGGTCAGGTTTTGCACACTTGTGTTTAAGATCAAATAGCTTGAGAAGCAAACTACTACTCCTGTCTTTTATTGTCCTTTTCATGACCTTTGTGTTACCCTTATTCATCTACAGGCAGACACGATATAGCAGGAGCTGGGACTGCACTTATTAAAACTGCATTTGAGAAAGGTATTTTGATCCTTGAAACTGCAGTCTAAATTTTAGGTAAAAACCACCTCCTCCATCGATGGAAGGCAGATGTCAGGGTTGGATGTGTTTGGTGCCAGTCAGAGATCAGGAATGCCTGGAGGTCAGGCAGGGAGAGGTAAGACAGAGGTAAGACGAACAACTTTTGGAAGTGATTGCAAATCTGGAGAAAGAAGATATGAAACTCCATTTGCAATGCACCAAACATGACTCCTACTACAAAAGTTCATCGTGATGTGATGATTATTGCACTTTTTCAAGATAATTTTTCCCAGAAAAGAGCAAACAAATTTAAAATAATTAAGGCACTACTGAAATGCCAACACAGCTATAGAGGCACCAGAAAACTAACCCCCCCTCAGAAAATGAAGGTTGTATTTTTTTGTTTTATCTTGAGGTGGGATACTTCAGGCTTGCAGCAATGCATGGTATTTTTATGGGAAACAGGTGGCAGTCTTTTTTGCAGACAAGGGCACTTATCAGCAATTGGTGGCAAAAAGACAAGTTATGAAGCCTAGTTGCTGGCTGGATTTGCCATTTACAGTGCTTTTTTCTTAAGACCTAAAAACATTAAGGGATAACTTAACCATAAAGAACAGCAGACAGGGACCAAGGTACTACCAAAAGGATGTCACTCTCACCAACCAGGGCTTATGGCTTCATTTCTAAACAGCTAATAAGGCAAATGAAAAAGCTTTAACTTCTGCAGGAGGACTTCTTGCCTTGTTCTGTAAAGAAATCCTGGCCCCCACTACTGCAGGGAGTGCAAGCTGGGATGGGACAGATGTCTGAGCATTTCAAGAGAATGACAGAAAATGCTGAAGGGCTACCTGAACATCTCACTCCCTGAGCGATGAGACCCCACATGAAGTTGGCGCAGTATTCACACCAGTGCGGACCTCGAAACGTATGGACCTGTAATACAAATGGGGGTGGGAGAAAGAAATGGGGTCATTGGGAGGCAGATGGTCTGACAGATGGAACAACTGAAATGGATAAACAACAGAAGACTCAGTAGGAGTAAATCTTTAGCATACAGTGCCCACATCCTTCCAAAGTCTAGATGAAATAAACCATGGGAACAGAAATTTGCTTTGATCTTGTAGTTTATCTTTCTTAGGCTTAGCATTAAAGAGAACTGGGCTGTGTATGACACTGAAAACAAATCATTTTTGCTAGCTGACATTCTAACTATAGTGGAGGGGAGGAACCCAGGAGTAAATCTAAAACTAATAATCCAAGGAACGGTAGATACAAGCAAATTCCTCACTCTAGTAAGTAAATTGAACTCATACAGGGAAAAGATGTAGACTCTTTTTCAGCAGACCAAAATTCATTTTGCTTCAGTCCACACGAGTAAATAAGGAGGAATAAAATAACCTGTGTGCTGACAGAACCCACAGCCAGGTTTTACACACCACCATTGCTTCCAACACTGCTTTTCTAAAGGCTATAGGGGAAGAACTTTTTATGTAAGATGTGTGCTCTGGTAAAGTAAGCATTTCATTTTCACTGAAACAAAGAGTAAATAGTGAGGTCCCTGCCCTGTGAATGGACACGGTATGAGCTAGTTCTAGCCAGAGACTTAATTGAGCCTAACAAAACACTAATCATGCACACTCTGGCTGCTAATGTGTCCTTTTACTTCTCTCTGCTCTTGTTTACCCATTGGGTGAATGGCTGAAAGGCCGCTTCCACCCCCTGCGATGGGGAAAGATGCTCTTTGCTTTCCATAGAGTAAAAAAATGGTCATTGCCCTCTTCAGATAAACTGTGAAATTTTAGGTCAAGCATTTGTCTTGCTAATGTTTTTGCTCCATTTGTGTGCAGAATCACACTTACTTACACAAGCCTGTACTCTTGACTTCAGGAAGATGAAGTATTGTGATTTTAATACAGATGATTTTATCTCTTTTTGATTTTGAGATAAAAACAGTGAGTCTGACTACAAATGGCTTCTGACCAACTAACCAACTACTCACTCAAATGATTGTGTGAATAAACTTTAAGCAATAGTAATTCTTCCTCCCTTTTTAAAAGTGAAAGGTCAAAGCTGGAATGTCTGACTGGTCATAATTATTTTTTGAAGTGGTATTTTACCTCTCAGAAAAACCTGCATATCTGTGAAACAAGACTTTGCAATAAAGTTTGAAATAGATATATTAAGAAATATAACCACATACTTCTTTCTCATTTCATTTTTATTTTTCAGTGTGGGTAGCATGAATTTCAGACATGGCTTTTCGTGGTGGTAAACAGCTGTACGTAACATCAGCTGGTGACCTGATGCAGTCATATGCACTGTGTGACCTTCAGTGGATACAAAACTACAGATACTACTAATTATGATGGCACCTTTACCATGTTTAGACTGAAAGACACATAATTAGTAGGTCTGCACCTGCACTTAATTGTGGGTGAAAATGATCTGCTGTGGGAAGATAGCTAACTGTGTCTTCTGCTTTGCAGCCATTTACAAAAGCTAACCTAGTGAGAAGGGCTGTAAAAGCTCAGTCAGAACTTTAAAAAACACACCATTTCATATATAAAGTCCATTGCAGTTGCTAGGATATTTGGGGCCTACTTGCTCACTTTACATAAACCTCATTTCAGCTGATCGTGCTGTGGCTTATTTTGAAAATGGTAGCTGATTATTCCTTGATCTCTCCTGTCATTAACTGGAAAGTCATCAATGCTGGCTGAGAGCTCCTTTTGAGAACTGCTGACAACGCACCCTTCCCTTGTTCCGTTCAGCTTGGTGGCCCTCAAAGGTTGAATTCTCTTTATTCACTCACTTCAATTTTTCACGGATCTGCATTTTAGCTCAAATGGCAAGTCTCCAGCTGAAATACCCTGTGAAAAGCTAGTCTTGGTGGTTTCTGGCCAAGTTGAAACAGAGAAATAATTTCTAGCTGAAAAAAGGGAGACTTTCAAAAGTTTCTAGGTGAAGGTGCAAAAAGTCTCTTCAGATGCAGTTTTGAAGTAAGTCTCTTATGGCTTGACATTAATTTTAAAGAAATAATGGAGGAATTCTGTTCTTAGGAACACTTTTGAATGGTAAATGGGAATTCTGCCTGCAAGACTAGCCTTATTTCTGTTTTAAACAGGGAGACGTAACAGCAAGTCTTAGGTTTTTGAGATGTGGTTTTAGGTTTTGCCCAATCCTTTTTTTGAAATGTGATCAAGAGCTATGTTTTGCTGGTCCCTTCCCCATCCTGCCATCTCAGGAGACCTCTCTGTGCTCAGAAAACATAGGCTTGGGCTGCTTGGTCTACATTTGACACATAATTCCAATTTTTGAAAGAATTTACAGGAAACTATTTCTCCAAATAAGCCAAACTCACGATGTTTCAGACTTTACACTGAAATTTTCTTGTTCCATCTTTCAGCCTCTTTCAATGAAAAGTTGTTTCTTGCATCCATGTCTCTTCTCTGCTGTCAGACTCACACAACAAGACATTGCATGTCTCTTCTTTCCTTCCTGTGCTCTCAGTTTCACCCTTTGCCCCTTTGGTGCCCTTTTTTTTAAATGGCAGCATTCCCCCAGTGGGTGCTACCGTATTGACTTGTAGTTTGTGTCTGAGTTGTCTTCACAGAGGGAGAAACTGAGACCAAGTTTAAGGAGTGCCAGTATACAGTGGCAAAACAAAGTTGTACCTTCAGCAATATTGCAGAAACGGACAAAAAAATTGCCTTGAATTGAAAAGCATGGGGGTTTTTGGCATTATATGGTGTTGTTTTTGAGACAATTTTGTTGTTTATGTGTCTGGGTTTGAAGACTTTTCTATTTGCCTCCGAAGAAGATTTTTTGACAGACTTTCTCCTGAATACGGGCACATTTGCACTCTCCTGTGGACTCCAGCTGAATCGGAGCCATTTGCAGCGAAGAAAAGCTAACTCTGCTGTTATTTTTGTTTAAATGCATACACATAATCTTCATGATGTCTGTAAAAAATGTCTCCGCCAAACCCTTTGTGTCCCAGAAGCAGTATTATTTGCGGTGCTTAACACAAGGGGAAATTTATCCCAGAGCCTCCTCTCTCCCAGCAGATCTGACTTGTCTGTAATCAGCTGTCTTTACTCCGCTAGCCTGCCTGCAAATGGGATTTGCCCCTTCTGTAGTGGCAAACAGGCCCAGTATTGTGGAAAATGCACATTATTCAGCTGTATTCGCTCACTTAAAGCAGCACAGAAGCCCTCTCATGAATTCCCAGCATAGAACAAAGAGCGTGGAGCATCCTCAAACTCCATGCTGCTGCACTCAGGCACAAGGTTGACTTCACCACCAGCTGGGACACCATTGAAGTTGGCAGGTAAAGCGCATCTGAAAGAGCCTCCTGGATCCTAATGCATGAGGATGTTGTGATCCAGTTAGGCTGGCACCCGCATAGCTGGAGAAATACCTCTATGTTTTTCTAAACAGGGCTTCAGAGATTTATTCTCCTTCTTGAACTACGGTATGTCTACACTGGCTTATGCAAAGTTGCCCTGCCAGACAGACGCCAGCTCCAAACCTAAATCCATGTGACTGCGTGGTGTGCTCAGGATGAACCCAGCTTAACAAATCAGCCTGGATACTAAATCTTTTTTTGTTCATTTGCTGTGAGTGTCTTGAAATTTGGAAGAGAGATTGAATGATAAAGCATGGATGCTCAGGAGGGCATAACCTGGTGCCCTCATGCTCCAAACTTCAACACCACTTTTAAATTTTCCTATTAGCTTGGCAAGGATGGAGGGAGAGCCGTCCTTGCTCTGAATTGGTGTCTTTAGTCTGTTTATTCCTTTTGTTCCTTCTCTCTTCCAGTAAATAAGAACTATGGTGTAAGATCTACAAAAATCTCATCAACTTTGCTAAAAATGTGCCCTTCATTTTTAAGATTCTTTAAAGCTAAAGGACAAGAGCTAGAGAGTGTTCATAAAGAATTGCCTATGACAAGATTATGAGGGACAGTCTGACACATAACCTTTATCCCTAGGAACTGAGATGAATGATACAATACGTGTCAGTATTCACCTAAAAATGGGGAAGACAACTTTTTGAATGTCTGCAAAATAGGGTTGTGCTTCAGATAAATCCTATATCATTACAGCTTGAGTGCTGGCAAAAGCTATTAAGAATTTTGCCCCAAGACCCATAAAGCCATTCTTTTCTAAATAATTTCTTAACTTTTTAATGTAATGAATATGGAATTTATAAAAGATATTAGCCTTGAATTTAGACATGCTTTGAATCTAAATATTCTATTCTGAGTATACTATCCACATTTTTTGTTCAACAACTAGATATGCTCTAATATATTCCTTTGGAAAACTAACTGTATTTGCATAGTGAACATATTTGTTCATTAAGCAAATGTATCACTTTTGATTGACCTTTCTGGGCAATTATTTAAAAAAATGTTTGTTCCCTAAGGTTTGTTAGTGCCTTTACTATGATTAAACAATGATTTTCTGCTGTCAAGCCTTTGAATACATATCTATTTTAATCATGTGATTTTCCAGTTAAACTATGAGTCTTTTGAAACAGAAAGGAACAGAGACTGTACAACAGTTAGATTGTGCAAACGCAAAGTTAACTGGGCACATGTCCAGTTATAAATCAAAGCCAAAACAAGGGAAATTTTGAAGAGGAAAGAATGCATGGGTCAAAGTGGAAAAAAGTCTCAGTCATGAGAAAATACTTTCTAGTTAAACTAAAATAGTTTTGATGCTAAAATGATAATGAGGGCAAAACCCAGAAAGAATGAAAGCTGCTTAATCAAGCAAGAAAACACAGAGTATTTCCCCTATTTCCTTCAGTGCCAATCAGAGAGATAAATATTGACTTTTCTGTAGCCTGGGTCAAGGAAGGGGAATGAGAAAAGGGATGCTTTTATTTGCTTTGCTCTCTAATATTAAATTATTGATTTGCCAACTACAGTAGAAGTACTGCAGAAGAGAGTAATGTCTGCACAGCAGAATATGTAGAAAAATAAGAAGTGAAACTTTTTTTGCTGACTGAAATAATTTTAATCAGTGTTTCTCCACTTTTGACAGGCCCTAGATGATTATCAGAAAATTCTCGTTCCGCTAATGAGTGGAACTATTCTGTCAGTGACCCAGATCAGCATCCTCAAGGAGCTTTAACTAAACTGAGGTTTCAAAGCTGAGATACATTCCTTTCTTGTCTTGTTACTGCCTCTTATTCTTGATGCTTATCCTGATAAGCATCAAACCACAATTTGACAGCATTAGATACGGTAAGTGGCTGGCACACTCTGAAACCAGCACAGTCCTTTTGGCAAAACATTTTAATACGAGCTGCCTGGAAGGTCCGTTTTCAAAGCTGAGTCACTTCCCTGCTGCAGTCTGCCAGAGACAGCACTTGGGGAAAAAATCCCTAAGAATCTGATTTTGTATGTATAAGACAGCAAAAAGATGATCCATTTAAACATCCCTGTGTTTGTCCAGTGATTTGTTTTAGTTTGACAAGCAAACACAAGCTCACATCCTATAGCTCAGTGAGACTCTGAGAGCATTTCCTTAGCATATGGTGGTGGAAACAAAAGCTGGGAGACAATACCCACTGCTGTGTTTTGCTTCATTGTTAGGAGCACCCAAGCCCCCTCAGCTTCTTCTGAAAATAGAAATGGTCCAAAATGTTTTTTGGTAAAGTGCTACTGGCTTCTGATAATAGCTAGATTTTGAAAAGGGGCCTTTTTCTTAATTAAAGACACTTAAGATAAAGACAATCAATATGAAGTACTTTGTTTTTTTTGAATAAAAAATAAACCCAAATCTGGGACAAGAGCTAAATTGCCGGTCAGGTAGTGCAGTGAGCAGCAAAACTATTATATGTATTAAGTCCCTATATAACAGCATACTAAGAGTGCAGTTAAGGGAACTTAAAGTAGAAAGAAAAATGCATTTTTTCAATACTTTACTTAGGGCTAGTATAAATAGGTGCGTGCAAAACTCATCACAGCAAAAAACCAAAATGTGAGGCACATCAACAGAACTTTTAAACTTAAAATAATAGGAAGTCGTGCTTACCTTAAAATTGTGTGCTTTTTCATAGTTGAAGTGGTTGTCATTTTGAGTTAAGGCTGCTCTTCTGACCAAGGAGGTGATCTGTGAATAGGCAAAGAGTTTCAGAGGTTGCCACAAAAGTGCCCCCTTTACTCCCACCTTCACCCCCAGGGCCACGGCCAGGAGCTCTTGGCGCTTCCTTCCTCGTTTCGACTTGTGAACAACAGCACAGTTTTTCTCATTTTCCAGCCACAGATCCTCTGAGAACATAGCGCTGGGATCCCAAATCTTTTCCCTGTCTTCCTCGGCGCCAGGGAGCCTGACTGTGGACAGCACGGTACAGTTTGTCCAACTGCTTCTGATGTTAGACAGCAGATTTGAAGCAGCTGCAGCCCATTCTGCAGAGACCTCTGGCATGTGACTTGAATGGGCCGTCTTGGGGGACGGAAGGAGCTTCTGCATCTGAATAAGTAACGGCCTGTGCCGTGCGATTTCTTAAGGCAGATGTGTCTCTCCAACAATAGCACGAATTCATACACTGAGCAGCCTCCCCCACTGCCCTCCCCGAGCGGTGGTCTCCAACTAGGTGCTGCCCAAATACCGGCCAGGGGGACACAGCATTACAGCTTCACCCCCAAAGGCATTTCCAGAGACAGCTCGCTTCAACTCTGCAGTGTGTTAAAAATGAACAAACAAACAAAAAGCCCCTGGAAAGCCCACACAACTGAATCCGGTGCTGCATCCAATTACACTCAGACTCTGAGACTTATCAGCCAGCAGTCTGCATGCCAGCAGATTAAGCCCTTAAAACCATGATGATTGTTTAATCTTACAGGGCAAAAAAATTTTTTTTTTCCCCTTTTTTTTTTTTTCCATTTCATATCCCATACAAGGGGAAAAATCCACCAGTGCTCCAAGCATTAATAGCACTTTTATGCCATGTTTTAAACTAAGCATTTTGTCAGCATGCACTTGGTAACCTTGGTAGCACTGAGGCAGCTCACTGCTAGGGAGAGGTGAAAGCTCAGCTGGGACTATGCAGGCTCGGAAGCCCTGGAGCCCTGTGTCTTCAGTGAAGGTAGCAGGGGAACTTCACATGGATATAGGAAGCCCGCCTGCACAGTCCTGCTTGCAGAACAGGGTCGTCCTTTGCTCTCGTTACCTGCGTCTACAGATTTTTGGGGGAACTGATTTCTAGTTAAAGCCTATGCACAGCAGGTATCGGAACCACGATCAGTCTGTGCTACAGCTTTCAGTGTTTCTTCGGACATGCGATCCCCTTCTTTAAAGGCAGGTAGTTCCCCATCCCAGGACACAGATGTGTGATATTGAGAATTCCCTGGAAAGCACATTCAGTGTTTCCTCCCCACTGGTTTCCTTCCCTGCAGCTTCCACTCCTTTACTGAATATGCCAATTTTCCATCCATAAGAGGAGGACAGTAGTTACCTGCTTGGCAGAGCACTGTGAGATTTAATTCTTTAAAGTGTGCCTAGTGCTTGAGGTGCTGTGACAGAGCCAACTGGGGGGATACCAGTGCTACTGGGAAAACTGCCTCTTTTGAACTAGAAACAATAAAGAGCACATCAGCCTTTTACAGTCTGCCCCACTTCAACTAACAAAGAAAAGAGGTGAAATTAAAATATTTATTTCACTTATGTTAACTTGTGAAGTTGACCTTGCCTCTATTTTTTTTGTCTGCTTTTGCGTCAGGCTAAAAAGTCAGAAGACTCATCTAATTCACTTACTAAACCCTCCACCATACAGGCTGCCTGCTCTTAGTAAAAGTGATGCTCTCCTAATTTGAAAGCCCATGGGGACAGATGGTTGTCCATCAGTAACATCAGGCTGTGCAATTTCAGATAGTACCCTACTTAGGGTTTTCAAGAAGTTGTGCAAACTGCAAAATCAGCTTATCGGTTATAAAACAATGCACTTAATTCTATGTATAGCATACTTAATTCCTTTCTTTTTCAGGTAACTCACAACACCGCTTTTTACGTGCTCTCACACTCCAAAGATTCTGCACCCCTATAGTGTGGATTTCCACACAATGCCTTTGCTCCCTGAGCAGTTGCTGCCCATTCAGC